CAAATCTTAAAGCAGTACTGTGAACACCAGAACAGAATGCACTTCTTTATATCTTTCTTAATGGCTTCAAAACTAGGATGATTCTTGGATATAATGTGGGAACATATGACAAAAGTAATCTTCTGGATAGAAATATTTTATTTTATTTTTTGGTACCAGGGATTGAACTCAGGGACACTTGACCACTGAGTCACATCCCCAGCCCTATTTTGTATTTTTATTTAGAGACAGGATCTCACTAAGTTGCTTAATGCCTCTCTTTTGCTGAGGCTGACTTCGAATTTGCGATCCTCCTGCCTCAGCCTCCTGAGCCACTGGGATTACAGGCGTGCGCCACGGCACCCAGCTGAAATATTTTATTTTGATGTACTATAATTATATTGTGGAATTTCCATGGATTAGAAGGTAAAATTAGTGTAATATTGTGTACTTTAGATCTTATAATATTGATTTACTGAGTGTCAAGTTATAATAATCCTTAACATTTTCAGTAAACAAAAGGGATATTGTCAGTGAGGCTGCTTCCTAAATGATAATATATACCAATACATCAGGTTTTACACTGTTGGTCCCTCCAATAAATACTTAGTAATGAAGCAAGCAATCAGGGGTCCTTATGCCTCTGGAATTAATTGCTCCTTAATGAAGCTGAAGACACCCCTCTTTATAAGAAACATGTTATTAATTCATAGAGTTCCTTTCTCCTTCTTTCCTCCCTTCCTACCTATCCTTCATCCCTCCCTCCCTCCCTCCCTTCTTTCCTTCCTTGAAAGACATTACTCCTGAAATCCCAGCTATCTTGGAGACAGAGGCAAGAATGATTTCAAATTGGAAGCTAGCCTAAGCTGTTTAGCAAAGCCCTGGTTCAATCCCAAGTACCATGTATGGAAGGAAAGAGAAAGGGGCGGGTGGAGAGGGAAGGAAGGAACAAAGAAAAAGGAAGAAAGGAAGGAAGGAGGGTAGGAAGGAAAGAAAGAATTCCAGATCTGGTCCTGGCATGCACATGGCAGTGTGGTTTACTAGAAAAAGGAGGCTGCAATAGTACAGAAAAGAAAAGTTCACAGCCAGATAGATGGGTTCAATCTCATCTCCACCTGTAATTAGTGTCATGCCCATGGGCAAACTTACTTTCATAATTTCCATCCCCTCATTAGTAAACTTGGGATAATTTACCCACTGAAGATTTTAACAGGGTGAGAGCACCAGACATGCTGCCTGGTACATGTGAGGGATTCAATAAATTATCATAATTATAAAAAGTAACCCATCGGTCAAAGAGAAATTACATAAGGGGGGGATGAGCAAGAAACACACCATCCATGTGAATTCTAGGCAGATTGGAGAAATAGACCATCTTACCCCCCCACCGCCACCCCGGCAGCCCTTCTGTTTCATGACACACTTCACAGTGAATGATTCTGTGCTCTGTGAGGTAGCTCTGCTCTGGTCCCCTTTACTTTCTAGTCTCTCTTCTTCCTTCTGAAATTGTGTTCTGACATTAAGAGAACCCCACCATCAAAAGTCATTTAAACCCATATACATTAAAGAAGTAGAAGCTAAACATAGAAAACTAAAGTGGATGTGCCCAAACACAGATGGCATATATTATTAGTAACAAATTTTAAGAATTACCTGAGAAGCAGGTGGAGAATTACTCATCCAAAATTGCCTTGCAACCAGATGCTCATGCCCTACATTCCTCAGATGGGTCACTGTTGGGATTTATGAACATCGATGGGAAGATTCTTAAATTCCTGATATTTTACACAAACTTTTTTTTGTGTGTGTGTGCACATCTTTCTGGTGGAGAGGGTCTATGACTTTCATTAGATTGCCAAAGTAGTGTTTGGCCTCACAAATTTTCAGAAGTATGGATTGCTTCTCTAGAGTATAAAATGATGTCAGCACTTTCAAGAGCATACTTGAGAGCCTTGTTACTTTAAGCATAGTCCTCAGGGAGTATCAGCAGCAATTCCTGGAGTGTGTGAGAAATGCACAATCTCAGGTTTACTGAAAGAGAAGCTGGCTTTGAACAGTGATTTTCAGGTGATTCATGTACATGTTAAAATTTGAGAAAAGTCCTACTGCAGCTATCAAGGGATCAGGCTCTATCTTCTGAATTTGTACTCTGGTTCTGTCAAATTCTAATGTACCGAGCTTGGATATATAACCTTGCATGTATGTAACATTCAACTGCAAAACCTTTAGAATTTATCTCTGGACTGCAGGCCTGAGTTAGACAATAATCAGACAATAATGACTTTGGCCAGATCACTAAACTTATGTGGGCAAGTCAGTTTCTTCATCTGTAACATAAAAAAGGTTTTCTTTATGCTCTGAATTCTGGAGTTTACCATTTGTTTCCCACACAGATGTTTTTGCCATGACCTTTCATCTACTGATATGCTATCTTTTTGTCAAGGTTTATTAAATGTTCCCCAAACCCAGAAACCCACACTGTTTTATTTCTTTATTCAGCTCCTCTTATAGTTTTGGACTATTCAATTTATCACTTTACTATGGGCTATAATTCTAACTGTTTGATATACATATCTTTATTTCCAAGCTTGGAGACATATGATAAAGGTTCAGGCTTTATCTATTTCTTCTCTTATTATCCTTGTCATCACACAAAGTATATAGTAGATGCCCAATAAATCATTGAAGATTGGATGCCATGTTTTGAGAAAGGTTATCTACAGAAGACACACTGAATAGGATCAATCTCATTAACTTAGTTACAAATTGTTCATGTTAAGCCATTTATTTCCTGGGGAGATAGGTATGAAATATGTTAACTTAAGCTATTCACATATCAATAACAGCTCCAGAATGAATAAATTCTAGTTGCTTTTAGAAGCAATTAATCCAGTTGAATAGGTCAAAGGAAAATGAATGTATTGAGCTACCTTATGCATTTCAGAATTTCCTTGCCTTTGGTAATTATTTGGAAACTCATATATACAATATTGATATATGTGCATATAAGCACATGTACATATGTATAAATATATACATGCACCACTCATATAAAACAAATTAAATTCTTTCACCAAAATAGTAAAACTTGATGCTCTCTTTAACTCTTTAATGAGGGATGCTATTCCTGATATAAAGTTGCACATATTTTTTTATACAAAAATTTCTGTTTCAGTCTGTTCAGCTGCTCTAATAAAATACTTCAAACTAGGTGGCTGATAAACAACAGAAATCTATTTTCACAGTCTTGGAGGCTGGAAAGTCCAAGGTTAAGGCAGTAGCATATTTGGTGTCTGGTGAGGGCTACTTCCTGATTCATACATGGTGCCTTTCAGCCATTGCCTCATGAGCAGGAAGGAGCAAAAAAGCTCCCTCAGACCTCTTTTACCAGGCACTTCTCCATTCACGAGGCTCTGCCCTCATGACCTCATCATCTCATAAAGGCCTCACCTCCTAATTCCATCACCCTGAAGATCAAGATTTCTACCTAGAAAATTGGGAGAAACAAACATTGGATCATAGAACTGCCGGCTAAGAACTGTGAAGGGTCTAAGTTTTTATGCTGTGTTCAAGCTAGCTGTTTGCAGTTCAGCTTGCCATTTCCAGTAGAGTCAGCTACAAATAAAGTTCTCACTTTGAGTGAATAATTAAAAAGAAAAAAGATCTTACAGTGACAATGGACATGAGACTCCTATGTCTGTGAAAAAGTTCTTTTTTATTCTCAGGAGAGCAAGCAGCATAAGCATTAGCATCCTGGTTCAGTTCTTCTAGCCACATATCCATAATGGAAATTAAGAGGGGCTCAGATGAGGGTCTGCACAGGCAACACATGCATTACAGGAGAAGAACCCCCAAATTTAGGGAATCTGAATTTTTTACAGTTCATGGGATATGTGCTTCCTCCTACTCCAGAGAGAGACACTGTCTTTATAATGTTGGGTAATAAGTATGCCTGCCATTTGCTCCAAAGGGACACAACTATCTCTACATTCCAAGACTGTTTGCAATACAAACATCCTTGAAAACATTATCTAAAATAAAGGGCAGTGAGTGCTTAGTTTCATAAGAAGAATTGAAATGTAAGCCATCATGGACAGTTATCTTCCACAACACTCATGCATGATTCTAAATAATAAGTAGATTAGAAATAATTTCCGAATCATTCTATTAAAGTGGCTTTCCTTAAGTGTCACAAAGTGACAAAATCTTTCTCTATGTGAGGCAGGAATTTGATCCTAAGGTCAAATCAGAAAATTTTCAACATTAGGCACAATCATTGAACAAAATAAAAAAAGAAAAGAAAGAAAGAAAAAGGAAACAGAACTTCCACCTAACTGGGAAGGGCATAGTTGTTTGAGCAGCTGTGTGACTATTTGCTTCCTGGAGCCTGTGTGTCTGACAGGAATGGAAAGGTCCTGGTGGCAACAGTTATCAGGGCCATTATCATTGTTTGGAGGGTAAGACTGCTTTGTAACACCTGGCGCGGATTCATTGTGAACATAGGGACAGCCGTTTTGTCCTGAGCCTCTTGTTGTGTTTGTGAATCTGGACAGGGAGTTGAGTCCTGGCCATTGACACTCAGATATGCTAGACCAGTAAAATTTAAATAAACCATTGTTTGAGCATGAGCTGGACCTTTGGGGAGCAGCAGATGGTTGGTAATCTCTTGTTTGCCTGTTCCAGGCCCAGAAGGAAGAACACGGGAATTTGGTCAATACTCATTTACAGCTCCAGCATCCCATATGATTACTGTGATTAATATTGTTTCCTTCCATGTGTTCCATAAAATATTTTAAGTTGTCCCTAGAGAGGGAAGAAATTCTGAATGCAGAATTTGCTGCAACTTTTCACTGTGAATTCTTTGACGGGAGGTAGGGAAAAGGTTAAAGAGATGTTTTCTAAGTGTGGCGCTGCATCATTATAGTATGAGTTTAATTTTTAACCTAAACTGTTCTATTTTCCTAATATCTTCTAAAAAATCAGTTAAAGATTGCTTTCCTCTTTTTAATTTTTTTTTTCAGTGACTTATAATGCATCTTTGGATGCTATCATTTCCAGTACAACCAGCAATACAAATACTGTGGTGCTGGCTTGGAGAGAGAAATCAAAAAAGCATCTTAAAATTACATCCTTCGACATTGCCCAGGGCGTTCATGCTTTTGATTACCACTCTCGGCTCAATTTAATTGGTATGTAAAATAAATCATGATAACTATGAGGGCCTCATAAATAGTCTAGAATGCATATTTGTATGCACGGAGCCTCTCTACCTTGTTGCTTTTATTGCCAGAGAGACCAACTTGAACAGCTCATATTTTATTGCCTGAGAATGTCTGATAATGATGCATTATTATGTGTGGTGTATATAAACTACATTGGGGTGAAAATATGAAAAAGTACCCCAACGCTTTAATGAGTGTTTTTTTATTAGAATTGGTCGGGGGTGCATAATGATATAGACAAAGAAGACAATTTGTGCAACATCTGCCATTCTGCTATCCTTCTAACACCACCAAATGTTGCACCCAAATACATCAGTTTCATTGCACACACACACACACACACACACACACTGCTAAATAGAGAACTGCAAAATGCAGAATGTTTTTCGATTATCTTTTTGGAGTACAATTTTTGAAAAATTGAGCTTAGCTTTAGTTTACTAAGGAAGAGTTCTTTTGACGTAAATGGTATATTTTAGGAAATATGAAGGCTTTCAGATATTAACTATTTAAATAAAATACCTAGGCATTCTGAAGTTGATATTTGATATATGTTAATGTTCAAACATTATAAAAATGTGAGGTGAATATGTATTGTTTAAAAATTGACAAATTAGTTATTAAGAACGTTCATGGCCTAGAGGTTATATTAATCCTCATTCATTAGGTATCATTCATCAAAAAAACATTGATATTAGCTATTGGATTCCTAAAATTCCCAACAATACTAGCTGACTATCATGATAAAAAGTACCATGAATGTCAACACAAAATATAAAAGGAGTTTTATAGATTTATTATAGAGGGCTGAGGGGGGTGGTCAATGAATTGATTTGCAAGGATTCAAATATCAACCATTTAACTTATTAGCTGATTAGTTATTCATTTTCCTGTATATTTGATCACTATTTTCACTTGCCACAGTGCTGGAAAAATAAAGGTGAATATGCTCAGCTCCACAGCTGATCCTAAAGTGGGAAACAAAAGAGAGTGTTACATTGTTTCCACACACCTGAATAAGTATTATACCTCTTGATCTTGAACTGCTCCCTGAATATAACCAACTCATATTCACAAATACTTTATTTTACCAAGAAAATAGGACAAACATACATTTGTGATGATAGTTTTCTTATATATCCTTGATTATTTCATTAGTTGTGAAAATAATTTCTTCCTTCTATTTTGTTAATTTGTGAACTTCCAATGTTGCCCTAGTCTGTTCTTGCTCCTGGATAGCTCCAACACTGTCTACACTCCTAGGCAGCCCAGTTTGAAGAGAGGGAACTTCAGGATTAGGAAGGATTCTGTCCCCTGCTGGGGCAGGCTGCTGGTTGGCTCCTAAGTTGTACCATATTTTCCTTTTCGGCTCATGCACATTCCTTTCTGCTACGCAAACCCTTTTTCTCCTGCTCCTCCATTTCAACAATTTTTATTGCCAGGGCTCATAGCTTGGTCTAGTTGCCTAGTCTAGTTAGGCAATGGCAAGACTTTCCTTCCTTCAAGACAGGGTGCTTTGGTGTTCATCAGAAGGCAGTTACTAACATAGATATGTGATAAACTCATTCAAAAAAAAGAAAGGTTATTCATGCTATTTTTTTTTTTACGTTTTTTTTTTTCTTTTTAATTCTGATTAGCAACTGCTGGCATTAACAATAAAGTTTGCCTTTGGAATCCCTATGTTGTTTCTAAACCAGTTGGTGTCCTTTGGGGTCACTCAGCCAGTGTAATAGCTGTCCAGTTCTTTGCTGAAAGAAAACAACTTTTCAGCTTCTCCAGAGATAAAGTAAGTAACATTGTACAATTAATTTAGTTCTGCCTTCCCAATGCCTACTGAAAACTCTCAAGGGGCCTGAATTTCTCTGAGAGCTGATGTTAATTTTTAAAATACATTGACTAACTACTATGTCTTTGGAAATCTATATTTTAAAAAAGTGTTGATTGATGGTTATTTAAAAATAGTTCTTTGGTAACTACACAAGTATTTCATTAAAATCTTGTTCAAACCAAGTACTGACTCATGGATTTAATCCCTTTTGTTGGACTCTCAATATGTCACATTTTAAGAGTTTCCAAATTTCTCACTAATTCAAAGGAAAAAAAATGGGGACAATTTTTGTCTTATTGAAATGTTGTTAGATAGTATAGTTAAATAGGTATAGCCAGTGGCTATTGTTGCTTTGATACAGAAAAGATTTAATAAAATAGAAATTAATGCTAATCTGGAGAATATGAAACACATTTCAATTATACGCAAAAATTCTTTTCTATTTGATGGTTTTGATGGGATGTTTTTATTTGTATTTCTGGGTGCTGGGAATTAAGCCCATGGCCTTGCCCATGCTAAGCACATGCTCTACCACTAAACTGTACCCTAAGCCCTTGAAGGGATATTTTAAATATTGTGGGAAAAGTATGGCAACAGAGCTGTATAGTCCAAGTTGAATTCTGGGCACATTATTTTGCTGTATGTATCCACTTGTCAATTTTTTAATCTCTAAAAATATTATCTTTAATGCTTCTGTAAAATTTCCGTTTTGTATAATGCTTGACTTAAGGATCCAGTTAAAAATGTGATAGATTTCAAGATACTTGTTTATGGTGAGAAAAGGGGATGATAAGTTTAGTGGGGAAAGTCCCTGAGACTCTGGATTTTTGTTCTATGCTAAAGGGATACACACACACACACACACACACAAGCATATAAACACACACATATATGAACGTATACATATGCATACACATATATAGTATAAATTTAATACGTGTAAATTAATGTTTAAATATACAAATATGTGTAAATTATATATACATATTTATATGGAAATTCACCTTCAACTCCTTAGCCACACCTAAGCCAAAAGTCCTACTAAACTTTCTGTTTCACTCTTTGTTACTTATCATATAAACCTTCTCCCTTTCCCTTCCATTTTACCAATAAATCTTCAATTCCTGCTGATTCTACCAACAAGACACATTTGTCAGTCTCCCATCTCCATCTCAGCTGCCATTGCTCTTATTATAAATCTTGACTTGTTTCCTGCAAAACACTGCAGTATTACTAAAATGTCTGCTGACTTTAAGACTGGTTTGACTCCAGTCTGTCCTCAGTTCTAATAGTAGTTTGCAAGACAAAAGCTTTCATGCTCTTATATCTGTCCTCCATGTATCAACTCTAAAATTCTTAAACTTTCATAAAAAGCTCTCCTCCTGTTTTCCAGTCCTATTTCACTTCCTGCTTTTCTCTTTCATTTATTTAGTGCTGTAGAACTCCATCAAACAGCTGTTCCTGCCATGCACTTTCTTGGCTTAGCAACATGCTCTTCTGTCTTTAGACCCCTCTCTTCCGTTAACTGACATATGCCGTCTATCCTCCAGGCTTTGGGCATTTTGGAGCCTCTCCTGGAGACTTTGGTGTTTCTCTCTATGCACTCTGCTGCATGTGTCCTTGGAGCATTTCTGATGCTGTGCTTAAAGTGGTAGAGTGCTTCCTTAACCAGGGTCAGGATCTTTTTGGCTTGTATTCTTGGTGTCTCACTGTGCTGAACACCTGTAGTGTTTATTCAGTGATTATTTGTTGACCACTTGAAGTGAAGGCACATTACAGTGAACAATAGTAGTGAAGAAACTCAAAGTGAAAACTTTTTATGATATCCTAGTTAGATCTATTTGTGCCTTTTTATTTAAAACCTGTCAGCACATTGTCTTAACTTTCATTGTTGAATTTGCAATCTAACTTGTATACTGGAGCATTGTGTATGTACATTGTACCTTTCATTAGATTTTGATTGCTTGAAGGCAAGGATCATTTGTTGAATTTATTTTTGTGTTTCCCAGGATCTAGCGAGTATTAGTGTGTTAAACACATGTTGAATATAATATATGAACTAATGTACTGTTAACAAAATGATAGGACTCATGAAATTAGGAACTCTGTCTTACTTGGATTGCATCATATGCATACAAGGTCCTCAATAAATCATAATTAAGTGGATGAATCATTATCAAACATAAAAATGAAACAAATACCAGATATTTTATCATTAAGAGTTTCCCGAAGAAAGGTTTTATAACTTTAAAAGCAAGTGAAAACAATGTCCTTAAAGTCAAAATTGATTGTGAACAGCTGACATCAACTTTAAGACCACCTAGCCTCTTTTGAAAGCAGTTCTGTCCTTCTGTTTTTGGTTTGACTTATGAACCATTACATCATAATAAAGCTTGTCATGCTGTCATTCACATTAGTCTGAATCCATTACACTTTGATAAATGCATGATAATCTCAGTTCTTATGTCTTTACAACAAAGCACAGAGCTTTCTGCTGCTGGGTTAAACCTCTGCTTTATTGCTATAAATTAATTTTTTTTTAATAGGACTAGAGGTAAGTGAGAGAACAGGGAAAATGAAAAAGCATTCTTTTTCAAACAGCCTTTGATTGAATCAGGTTTTGGTTGAAGAGTTGCTCAATTAGAGGATTTGTAGACCAAAGAAATTTGGATCTAAAATAATTTCTTCCAAAAATGATCTGAGACTTTAGATCTTTTTTTTTTTTTTTGGAAGATTGTTCTATTTCCACTTTCCAGTGATGATTAAATAATGTTTATTTCTATAGAACTTGGTGTCATGAATAACAGCCCAGTTGCACTATATTTTGGAATCCTAAGCAGCTTCTCTTAATGGCAGTCACTGGTGGCAAGGCCCTGCTGGGAGTCAGTAATGTGGCCAATTGAAGGAGGAACCACCAGGGGACTGAAAGCATTTTCAAGGCCCAAGAGGAATCTCTCTGCTGGAGTCTAACATTCCAATCAATGAGCTGAAGTCAGCTTTTCTATTACTCCTAACTCCTGGGCTACTAATCCTGATTTGGCCACCAGAATCAGATCAGTTTGTAACATAATCCTTTGTTTGAGGTTCTGATTTTTTCCAAAGCCTGGTGTCTATATTGTAGAACTGTGGTTGGCAAAGAAAATACAAAGCCAGACTTTGGTGTTGGTGATTGCATTGTACCTATTAGTCTTCTTCCCTCCACACAGCCCTCTACCCCAATTTCTATCACCCATCCAGAAGCTAAGTATTTTCATCTTGTTTAAATTGCATGAATAAAGGGATTGATTCTCCCCCATAAATATTACATTCTTTTTATTTTATTTTATTTTTGCAGTACTAGGATTAAACCCAGTGACTCACACATGCTAGGCAGATGCTGTACCACTGACTGAGCTGTATCCCCAGCCCACCTCTAAAGATTACAATGATGAGGATGCATATAGTGCAAAAAGTGAATATTTTTCTTTTTCATTTCCCCTTCAAATCAATTTCTCTCTCAAGAAATAATTGATAGTTGATGTACATCTTCTCACATTGTTACTGAATACTTAATGCATTGTTATATACATTGTCCTTTGTGCGTGTACAAAAGAGAAGTATTTATTAGTTTTTTTATGTAAATAGTATCACATGAAATATACTTTTCTTCAATTACTTTCTCCTAAATAATGTCTCTTGGATAACATTCTGTGTGAATATCCATAAACCTTTTTTTTTTAACTACATAGTATTTTATAATATGGATGGCCATAGTTCAATTATTCAATCATCTATGGATTAAAATATATAGTTCCTAAGTCTTTATTGACTCTCTCTCATACACACGCACACACACACACACACAGACATTTACACATTTTTAAGACCTCATAAATTAATTTCTTTGTGATAAATTTCTAGAAGTGATGCGATTGGATCAATAGGCATATGACTTCTTTTTTTTAAAGTTTTTTATTGTTGGCTGTTCAAAACATTACATAGTTCTTGATATATCATATTTCACACTTTGATTCAAGTGGGTTATGAGCTCCCATTTTTACCCCATATACAGATTGCAGAATCACATCAGTTACACATCCATTGATTTACATATTGCCATACTAATGTCTGTTGTGTTCTGCTGCCTTTCCTATCCTCTACTATCCCCCCTCCCCTCCATGTGACTTCTTTTACAGGATTTTCTTACATATTGCCTATTCAGTGTAGAAGTGTTGACCAACTGACATACTCGTCAGAGGTGTTTAAAAGTGCCTGTTTCCCCATGTTCTTTTCAAGAATGGAAACCATCAGTGTTTATTTATTTATTTATTATAAATATGAAGGGCAAAAAATTAGCATGAATTTGTTTTTCAAATATTAATTTATATTTCCTGATTTTAATGCATTAATTGATCATGAACTTTATCTTATTTTAATAAATTTGACTATCTTCCTACTGATTTGTAGTAGCTTGAAAAATTTTTGATTAGCTTTTATTAGAATATTTTACCTCTTTCAAGCATACATTTTAAAACTTTACGTGACTTTGTTCATTCAAAAGTTTTTAATTTTTGTGAAATTTAGTCAGAAATGGTTTTCTTTATGGATCTGGATTTTGTGTCTATCTTCGGAATGTCTTCCATAATGCTTCCATTTGTAAGATTGTCCTTCTTTATTTTCTGTTAACACTTTATACCAGTAATTTTTTAAAAATTTAACTTGGCAATTTATTTTTGTGTAAAGATTGTTTTTCTTCTGTAAATGGCTATCCAAGATAATTTATGAACAGCCTGTCTTTTCTACTATTTTAAATTGGCATTGTTATCATCTGAATTACTCTGTGAACATGAATTTGTTTTATATACTTTATTCCTTACACTTACCAACTTATTTTTTTTTCACACACAATACACATCCTACTGTTTAACTACCATAATTTAACTCTATATTCTGATACCTGGTAGGTCAGTTTCTACTTG